CACCCCAGGATGCCATTGGCCTTCTTGCCAGCCAGGGCACACTGCTGGCTCATGGTCAACCTGTCATCCACCAGCACTCCCAGGTGCCTCTCCGCAGAGCTGCTCTCCAGCAGGTCCGCCCCAGCCTGTACTGATGCATGGGGTTGTTCCTCCCCACGTGCAGGACCCTGCACTTGCCCTTGTTGAACTTTATTTTTCTGTCAGATTAGCCTACTACCAGACATAAGCTGAGTGGATGAGGTTATCCCACATTCAACCACGAGAGGGCTTTATTCTACTGGGAAAAAAAAAAAAAAAAAAAAAAGTTTTTTTCCAATTCAGGTGTACGGACTACCTTTGAAAAAAACACCCAAACTCAGGCAATGAAGGTGGTGACACTCTGACACAGGATGCCCGGAGAGGTGGTCGATGTCCTCTCCCTGGAAACATTCAAGGTCAGGTTGGATGGGACTCTGAGCAAGCTGATCCATCATTGCAGGGGGCTTGGGTTAGGTGACCTTTAAAGGTCCCTTCCAACACCAAGCGTTCTATGATTCTATGAGCATGAGTGCTTTCTTTAAATGCAATCCATAAAAACTAAGTTCTCTAAGCAGCTGAAACAAAAGGGAATAATTTGCAGAATTAAAGACACTACTATGGATGCCCAGCTGCTTCAGGACAAATTCAAAAATCTGAGCCTGTTTCACAAACAGCTACTGGACGTGAACCAGCTACATTTCTAGGCTGAAATGTTTTACCAACACCTAGGTCCGGGGTAGGCACGCGTGCTGAACAGCATTGATGGTTCGCCTTCACCGAAGCCAGCAGAATGAAGTTAGCTGTAAGCTGGCTGGAGCACATTACAGGATAAGAAAACAAGGGATGAGTTAGCGCAGAAGAAGGAGCAGCGCCACAGAACCTCACACACCCTGAAGCAGAAGCTCTGAGGACAGAGCACAGGCGGAACCGAGCGCAGCCCAGCGCACAGCAACGCTCGTCTGGACGGGCAGAGCTGCATGCGTGGAGGACCCAGCACCCACAGCGGGACATCGGCGCTGAGTAGCAGATGGCTGGTTGGGTTTGTCCCCAGCTATGTGTGCTTACAGACTAACCCCTGAGAAGTTACTCTGCGGAGATTTAAAAGCATCTCGAGACCTCTGCCGAAGCAGAAGAGCTTCTTGTACGTTCCACCGTGACGGAGCAGCGCTAGGCGCAGTTGTTTGCCCGCTGTCTGCCTGCACTGCACAGACGGGCGGGTTCTGCGCAAGGCTTTCCCTGCATTCCCCCAGACCTGAACCTTTTAGTCAGAGACAGCCTCCTACGTTCCCTCCTCCAGTCCGGATTCCAAAGAACGCACATCACAGAAACGTAAGGACCATAGCAGAGAATCCAAATTACTCAAAAAGATCATGGGTTTTTGTTTGTTTGGGATGGCTTTTTTTTTTTTGTTTAACAGTATTTGTTCATGTATTGTCTTTTCATTAAGAACCACATTAACAGACTCGGGTATCATACCGAGATGCTTTCTGGAATTCATAGTTCCTGTGAAGTTATGGGAAAAGGTTAATAAAAATGTCCATGTAAATCAATTTTTCGAACTAGTATAGTAATAAATTTTTGTGCAATAAGCTCTAAAATGTATGCATCTCCTTTAGCAATCTCAGCGGATAATTTCTGGGTTTAATATTCTTATCTGGAAACCAGGTTTAAGTGACCTTACCCTCTGGAAGCCTCTAAACAATCTGAGTACTCCACTGATCCAACCTGTTTGGCTAGCTGCCCTGGTGCAGAACAACTTCTTTTAAAACAATCATTCTACTGGCTGTTCTGCTACTCGGGTACAGATTAACACACCACCACCACCACCACCCCCGTAAAAACCTCGCCTGATTGTCTTCCAGCACCGGGGCTCCGAGGCTGCCTCATCCTGGCTCTCCACATGAAGGATTAAAGTTACTGATTCACTCCAGAATCATTTAAGGTGGTATTTAATGGCCCGTGTTACTCAGGAGAGCACGTTATGTGTATCTGTTAGTACCTCAGGACTTAAGTTCATTTACGATACCCTGAACAGCCTGGGTGTACCCTTGAAAAGTTCTGCCACTTAATCTGTGCAAAGTTTAGATACAGCCTGAGGTTAAGAACAGCACAAAGAGAAGCAAATTTGCTGATCACGCAATTCACTGCGTAGCCATCCCGGTATAACACCACCAAACCAGACAGCTTGAGTATTACTACTCATTACAGCAAGTGGATAAGCAGCACGAGCACCCGGTGCCTCCCGGTAACGTGCGAACTGTGACACATCTAAACATCAACCACTAACCTGTGCTCTGAGGTTATGGAGACAGAATCAAGTTAACACAAAATACTAGTTTCCAGGTATGTAACATGCAGCTTTCTACAGAAATCTCACCTTACTCATTTCACACTAGGTAGAAACACATCATTTAACATGAATACTTTATTCTAGACTGATGTTCAACTGTGTGAACTATTTGTAGCTTAAGACATGGATGGTTTTGTTCTTGGCTTCCTGATACTCATTACTAACCTTTGAAGCATTCAGAAGTAACACATGTATTCTCAAAAAACAACTCTTATTAAAATAAGTTAGTACCATCAGTTACTAATAGTAAAGTGGCACAGAGACAACACTGCATTAAGCAGCTGACTCAAGTTAGATGCATTAACCATTAAAAAACACCTAATAGCAAGTAGCTGTGACTTGAAGTAGTGTTCCCAGGCAGCTTCCTATGCAATGGTCTATCACGCCCCTCATCAGAGCTTAAAACCGAGACGCTCACAGCAGTTACTGTGCTGCCTGGGAATTCTTGTTTAAACCCCTTTAAGCAATTATGCAGAAGCCTTAACTAAAGTCATCAAATGATTCTAGGTCGACAGGGAGGAGTTTGGCTTGACTTTCAGACCACTTTTATTGAAGGGCATATAGTAAAAAAGTTCCAAAGGAAATTGCGGCTCAAGCTACCATTAGGTATTACACAGCAAAAACATTGAAGAACAACCAGGGACAGCATGGCCAGAAAATGTGCCATAAGGGAAACAACCTGGGGAGGGCAGAGAGGGGTTACTCCAGGTAGTGAGCAAGACAATCTATCACTTCGCTGTCTTCTCTGGAAAAAAATCTGTTTTAGAGATAAAACCAGGTGAGGCGACTTTAACAAAAGTTCCTGTAGAATGAAGAAGATTGACGTGTCCACCTAGCCCTTCTAGAAGTTTTTCTAGAGAGCAGAACTCAGTAACCAGCTAGTGGACATCTACTAAACTGCTTCTAAGGAGTATGCAAAAGGTCAACAACAGCCTTATCCATTACAAAGAAATGTTAAATTCACTCCAGTGGCCCACACACAAGTAATTAGTTTCAGGCCTCTCTTGAAGTCCCGAGGATGGTGCTCACACACACGTATCCTAGCCTAGTATCAGTATCAGTCTCAGGTATGTTGCTTTCAGTATTTTCCTGCATTTTGTTATCCACAGAACATCACTGGTAGGAAACGAAGAGTCATAAGTAAATGCAATTCCATTTATTTTCAAGCAACATCCCATACAAAAGCAACAGAAACATTAACTGCTTTCAGCAGAAAGTCTGTACAGTGTTATCATTTACAACAGTTTTACATTTAAAATCAGCAAATTAAAAAGAATCAAGCACTCTCCCTAGACATTGTTTCTTGACTGTATTAACAAATGACTCATGGCTATTTACAAATTTCAAATTCAGGCGACTGCTTCTTAAAGCATTATTGCCTGGGGTTTACCATACCGACCTCCAGTTTCTTGGGAGTATTTAATTTCCAATTGTCTCAGAAACATTTTTGCAAATAAAAAAGAATTTATTTTTGAAAGCTAAGGCAGTTTAATCTTACAGTAAATAACTGCCGTAGACAAGTTTACTCGTACTAACCAGCGGTGTGGTTCAGCTACCACCTGTATGACTTCAAGTCAGATCTTTGTCAAAGAGCCAGATGGAAAAGCAAGGTAACATACAGATGCTCAAAAGTATCTCCCTACTTTGCTCTTCATCTGCAGGTGGACAAATGAAATTATGGATGCAGTGGGGTCTGGAAATCAGTTAGATCTTGCTGAACTATTTATCATTACTTGAGGACAGTGCTGCCTTTGGCTATTTTTTCTGTTGGAAGGTTTCATGAAAAAAAAAAAAAATCTGATATACATAAATTAAAAGTTCAAAAGAAGTCACACAACTTAGTTGTATTTTTACATAAGTTTGGTCCAGAAAAGATGTAGACCAACCACAACTTACAGAACAGTCTTCAACTTTGCTTAAACTTTCTTACTATTAAGAATTTATGAATCAAGCTAACCTCTCAAATTTAAAAGAAACTTCCCCTAAAACAGTTTGCACGAGACTATTTAACTCACAGTATCAAAATCTTTCAGTGGTTCACTCAAACACACTTCCAAGTCAAATTCACCTTCTGCTCGATAGTTGACATGTCTGACGTTGGTGGGAGTGCCAGAACAGGTATCCTGGAATACAAAGTCGGTTAACAATTAGCAGTTAAATACAGGTTTAGTCATGCAGTAATTCATTTCACTTCTGCAATTCATTTAGACCACCCTATAACAGAGGCTTACAAACACTTTAAAGGCCATACAAAAACCTAAGGCTACGCTTAAGATTGAAAAGATTTAAATGAAGGTTTCTACCCATTCAACCACATTCTAGGATTTCTTGAAAATGTTTTAAGGACTGATATATGCATATATTAAAACATTAAACAGGTTCAAGTAGTCATCAGAGAAGCAAATCCAGTAAGAAAAACATCACTAGATCTTTACTGAAGGTTACTGCTCAGCTACACTAAATGCTTTCTGGATAGAAAAAGAGCCTACTTCAAAAAGCTTGAATGCGCCAAGAAAAATATATCCTATTTTAACACTAGATATTGCAATCTAAAGTGGTATTTCCACTGTACATCACAGCTCATAACTGACATGCTTTGAACAGATACATTTTATTTTGCAGGCTATAAAAAATGATGTATCTGTCACTCAAGATGGTCACTTACGTTCTCTCTCTCTCTGAACTCAGACTACAGACAGGTATTGGCTATAGCCGGGAAAACGTCTGAAGTTAAAGATTGCTCAGCTTTATAAACAGTCTCCACAGCAGATTATGGGATTTCTCATGTATTCTGGCTACTCTGGATATATTTCTAAGTAATGGACCAATTATTAACAAATATTTGTGCAAGTGTCAGATATACTTACATCATTATCTTGACAGCTCGTCTGAGATTCAGTCGAATTGCTTCTGACAGATGCTGTCTCCATCTCACCAAGGTCAACAGGACTACTGTAAAATAATTAAAAAGCACACAGCTTAAAACAAATTCAGTTTTTTAGTAGTAAGTTGCACTTTGTAGGTGCAGTTCTAAAAATGATGGCCAAACAAGAGCAAAGAGACCTACAGAGATGATGGGGACAGTGGTGGCAAGCTGCGGAGACCAGAGTATCAACTCAATACAGCCAAAATGGCCAAGGACTAATTTAAAATCATGAGACTGAATATAGCAACTGGTCAAAGACCAATACCCAACACTCAAACAATGCCTCAATACAAATGAGGACAAATGTTATGGAAGAGCAAGGAAACTTTTTTTTCCCAGACAAGGTTTTCATCAACTTGTTTTGCAACAGAAGGTTTAAGATTCGCTGTACAGAGAACTAGATGCCAGCGTCTGAAGGCAAGACCAGTATTTCAGCACTAAGGTTACAGTAGGCTTCAAGCTGAAATACCAACTCCACTCACGTCGATTACAAGTAAAAAGGAAGCTAAAAGTAAGCCTGTGCTTTTAGATACCATTGCTCCATATTGGTTTTAAAATCAGCATCGCTGTGATGGAAAAACAATAGTGTATTGCCACAAAAAAGTTTCCTGAGGAATCAGTTACATCTGTGTCCCTTCATTCTGTAGTCCCAGAGTTTTATTTTGAATGTTCCCTGATCAGCTTTATTGCTTTCTATAGAGGAAAACAACTAGTTGCATTATTGTACATCTTCTAGAGAAGAATACCACAGTAGCTTGGACTGTGAATGCCTGTGGCCATGCTTTTAATTTAAGGGCACCTTGAGAGATTTTACAAGTACTGTTTCCTCCTCTCTGCTCAAGAAACAGGAGTTTATACCACTGTTCTTTAACTAGCAAGTGAGGGGGCTACGAGGCAGGTTCTCGTACATCGTATTGGTCCAAGCTCAATATTCCTGAGATCTGTCAATCAGTGAGACCTCTCCAGCACTGCTCCCACCACAGATTAACCTGCAGACCGCTGTAAAGAACCAGCCTGCCTCAGTGGAGTGATAGTCTCTATTACAGAGCACTGCAGAACGAGCTCTGATTTCACTCTGTGGACATGCATTAAAGAAGTGAGGGGTACAATGTGTGTGCCCTTCAAGAACACTGGGTAAGTCTAGTCCCACCAACTAGGTCCAGAAAGCTATTACATATTTGGGCCAAGGAGGAACTAGCAATTTCAATAGCAAACAGGAACTAAATAGCATGGGCAAGTAACTAATTAAAATATTCAACAGTCACTGACTTGTCTCAAAAAAGAGCTATGCTGGGGGGTTTTTTTGTTGCGTTTTCTTTTTTTTTTTTTAACATAAGACTTCATATATTAATTTGTATAAAGGTACTGAATACCGTACACGTACATTTCTTGCAGATCACATCCTTCTTCAGTAGGTGGATCCCAGGAATGCAATGCAACTTTCCATAGTTTAATCTGCTGGTCCCATGACCTACGGCTGTACTTCTTAAATTTATTTGGAGTTCTGGGATGAACTCCTGGTATACGATGGCATCTATTCAGATATTAGACACAAAAAATACATTAATGCTTTTCACACAGACATAGTATATAACTTTGTTAAGACTGATTGCCCACTACACAGAATTTGCTGCGCTGTAATGAGCCTAAGTGATTATATTATTTAGGAGAAAAGACTACTGCACAATTCCAGCACTCAAGTGAAAAGTTGTCATCTCTATATGAACATTTTAGCTTTTGCATCTTCAAGTCAAACAAAAAAAACTTAGGTCCGAGAACTTAAGCATGAAATTTCTGCATATAACTTATTCCAAACTTAACAGCAACTGTTGTCCATTTTGTCTCTTTGTTTACTGATGAGAAAATTGACTGCAAAAATCAGTTTCATTTCCTCTAGTTGATGAGCATAACTGAAAGGACTTTCACTTCCATTTCTGCAGCATTACGAAGAGTGAAGGGATATTCCTCACATACCAACTAGTAAAAAACAGAATCCACGCCTCATTTGATTGCTAGTGTCACTTACCTGTTAAAAAAAAAGTCTTAGAAGGCTTAGCTTGTAGATGCCTTCTATCTGAATGCCTCAGATACCAAGTTTAGTATGTTAATATGCTTATAAAGAATAGGTATGGCTTACAATCGAACACTGAGTTTTCCAGAAGCTCAAGCAACTTACCTAGGAACTTCTTTAATGTATCTATCGTATGCAATTGTGTTTTTTCCGTAGTTTATCTGTTTTTGTCTTCTCATCAAAACCACTTCATCCGTCTCAAGTTCTACTGTTACAGCGGACTCCTTTGAATCAGAACTGAAGAAAAAACATTGTAAATTTGGGAGCACTAGAAAACAAGTGACACTCAAAACCACGTGTAGAAGACTGAAAAGAAACACGCTAAAGCTTTTCTAATGAACGCTTGCTTGTGATGTTACTGAACTACAATGTTAGAGCAGAATTAAGATGAACTGATTTCAAACGAGCATTTTCAGAAGCAACAATGATGTATATACAAAAATTCAGACCTACGGTCAGGATTTTCCTGCTAAGCTAGAAATTTAACCTACCTTCCAGAGGAGGACCTCCTTTCTCTTGAAAATTCATTTATCAGGAGTTTTCTTCTGTATCTGTAAGAATTCAAATCCGTATTAAGAACATACACAAAGAGAAGATGTAAGGCTGCGCTGTCACATCTCACAGCTGCTTCTACTTCTCAGCTAAGCAGCAGTCTTGAAGTCAGCCCAGACACTGTAAATACCTTTCCACTATGGAACTGACATTTCAGTTTTCCCCTGAAAACAAAAATAAAATCTGAGGACTTCCTTTTCCCGAGTCTTTTCCCTAAAAATCTTTTTATAGCAACAATATGCAAAAAACAGTAATCAGTGAAAGGGCACTGAAAGTAATTCAATCTAAAAGATTTAGGAAAGGATTCTTCCAAGAGAGAGATATTTAGTGATACACATCAAGTCTCCAGAGAGCACACTACGTCATTTCTGCAGGACTTAAGCCAAAGCTGACCTAAAAGCTGCAAACAAGAAGCTAAGCTTGGTCTGATTTTACCACAATGGTGAAGTTAAAAAACACAGATTCTACAAGACAACTACCATTTCCCCTCCTTTCCCCACTTCATCTTAAACACCCATGCATACCTTGCAATTTCTTTGTTAACGCTGGTCCTCATTTCATCTTCTTCCACTGCAGTTCCCCAATCTGAACACCGGGAAAGGGGTCCAGGGCCTTCTGGTGTTGTAAAACTAGAAAGGAAAAAAAAAAACCAAAATAAGAAAAAATCCTCTACATTAAAATTTTATTTTATTGTATTTCCCACTCCACCCCCAGCATCTCTCCCATTCACAGCTTGAGGGGTATTTAATATATTAATTTATAGTACTCACAATGGCTGTGAAAAGCTTGTATCATCTATTAAAATGCCATCACTGTAAAATTAAGCATCAGTTGAGAGTTCCACATGGAGATTGTGTGGTTCGGGGCTTATTTTTATTTTTTTTTTCTTAGAAGTTTATGTAGATATCCATAGAAACACACCACGGTGGCACGTAACCTAGCCTACACTTTCAATAACTTTAAGCTGGTGTCCTTCAGAAAACCGTATGCAAAACACAAACTTTACTCATTCATTCGCTTATTTTCACTCCGCTAAATGAGTTCAGAAATGTTTATTCTTTCATGACTGTAGACTCATTAGCTATATAAGAGACAAAAGTTAGAACACAGAATTAAATTGTACAGTTAATTAATTAAAATCACACGATAGCACCAGGAGTTTATCCACATGGAAACATACCTAGCAGAGAAGGCAAAGGCACAATAAAAGCAGTCAATATTTAGCTAGTAAACTGAGATTTGCTGTAATCTTGCAAACTGCCATTTAACAGATTCAGACTGTTGCAGGGGAATAAGCTTATACCCTTTCCCAGACAACAATAGTTGTTTACATTCTGGTTACTAAATGTATTTTCCAGTTTCTGTCCTCCTGATGACTGAATTTCCTAAAGTACAAACTCAAAACCGTATCCTACAGACCAGAGGTTTTTCAGTAGCTCTGGAGACTTGTCAGGATTCTGCGCAAGGAATCCCCTCAAAGTCAGAGAATTATATCCCTCTGCACTAAAATCAGTTACAACCCCCTCCCTGCTCCCAGTTCAGAAATCAGGTTCCACTACTTGGAAATTTTTGTTGAATTCAGACTAAAGATGAAACCCAGTTAGCAACTCAAGAAAAAATTAAAAATCCATAGCAAACAGCAAATACCTGTTCAACCTCCAAAGATTTTTAGCATTTGCTTATATTGATTTCTAACTCTGCAGAAAATGCAGGCCACGTTCAATTATTGCTCTGCCATGACAGAGAACAGCACAATCCCACAAGTACCCAGTGAGTGCCACCATCTGAGCTTTTTCCTCAGCACTGTGCCATACCTCTCTATACTCGTTTGAGTCTGTACCTGCGCTGTGTATATGAGAATTAGGGAGAACGTGGGAGGGCCCACAGCTTTTTCTTTCAATTGATTTGCTCTGGTGCCAGACATACTAAGCTTAGCTTTCCCCAGACGCTCACCCCACGCACAATTTCACAGTTTGGAGAAGCTCTGGTGCTGTGTTAGGACTGCAAATGGTGCTCAAACTGTGCTAGAGGTGGAGGAAAACAAGGCTATAACCACACACAGCCCCCCTCCCTCCCCAGACCAGATCTGTGCATGGCCCAGCCTCCATCCCGATCCCCGTCCCATTCTAAAGTTTTATTTTGACAAAGTTGAATTGGGATAAACAAAAAGTAGATTTAGCACAGAAAGAAAACAACTTCAAGCGGAGCTGAATCCAAACTAAACCAGAAAGTACACTTGTTCTATTCAGTACTGGAAGACGCACAAAAGCATTGCTTATTTAGGTTGAAACTGATGAAGCCATCTGTAAAGTTTCATCCTTGTACTCCTATTCAGACAGGCTTTCTGAAATTAATTTCGTTTACTGGGGATGTTGTGATTTCAGCCCCTGTGCAGTGTCTTCCCTGCTTATTCTCAGCAGAGCAAAACGGGTCGTTACAGGGCACGACCCAGCTCATTCTAGGTCTGAAATCTGGATTCAACAACCGCGCTGCGGGCCACGGCTCCCACCCGCCGGTAAAAGTGACCGCGGCGTGAACGGCTCCGGGGGAGGGCGCGGTGTGAAAAC